TCTCCCCCCGCACGCAGGCGGGCAGTGCCGGGACTCGCCGGGCGGCGCCGCCCCGCACTGCCGCTGCCCTCGGGGCTTCTCGGGGCGGCGCTGCGAGCGCAACGCGGACGACTGCAGCCCGAACCCGTGCGCGCACGGCGGCACGTGCCAGGACGGCGCCAACGCCTTCACGTGCACGTGCACGCTCGGCTTCGCGGGCCCGCGCTGCCGCCGCCGCGCCGGCGCGTGCGCGCCCAACCCGTGCGCGCACGGCGGCACGTGCTTCACGCACTTCTCGGGGCCCGTGTGCGCCTGCGCGCCGGGGTTCATGGGCGCGCGCTGCGAGGAGCGCGCGGGGCCGCCCCCGGGCGCAGGCACAGGGGCGGGGGCGGGGCGGCCCCGGGGCGCGGCCCCGCTGGCGCTGTGCGCGCTCCCGCTGCTGCTGCTCGCGCCCGGCGTGGGGCTGGCCGTGGCCAGGAGGCGCAGAGGCGGCAGGTGAGGGTTTGGGGCGCTTTGGGGCGGTTTTGGGGGTTTTCGGGGGTTTTGGGGCGGTTTGGGGCAGTTTGGGGTTCATTGTTTAGGGGCAGTTTGGGGGATTTTGGAGCAGTTTATGGTTCAGAGTTCAGAGCAGTTTTGGGACAATTTGGAAGATTTTGGGGCAGTTTGGGAGGTTTTGGAGCAGTTTGGGAGGTTTTAAGAGGTTTTGGGGCAGTTTTAGGAGTTTTCAGGGGGTTTTGTTGCAGTTTGGGGTTCAGGGTTCGATGGGGCTTTTGGGGAAATTTGGAAGGTTTTGGGACAGTTTTGGGGGGTTTTGGGGCAGTTTAGGAGGTTTTAAGGGGTTTTGGGGGCAGTTTGGGGGATTTCAAGGCGTTTTGGGGGGTCCCAGCAGGTTCCAGGTGGGGATTTGGGGGTTCCTGGGGGGTCCCAGGTTCCATTTGGGGAATTTTGGAGGTCCCAGGTTCCATTTGGGGAATTTTTGGGGGGTCCCAGGTTCCGTTTGGAGGTTCCTGGGGGGGTCTCACGGCGATTTTTGGCCCCCAGGACCCCCAAGGACACGGGGGGGACCCCCAGGCTGAGCCCCCCCGGGCCGGAGCGGCGCCCGCAGAGACCCTCGGCCACCAGGGTGAGACCCCCAAAATCCCCCCAAAAACCCCAAAATCCCACCGGGACCCCCAAAATCCCCCCCAAAACCCCAAATTCCCCCCCAAAACTCCCAAAATCCCCCCGAGACCCCCAGACCCCCCCTTTAACCCCTCATTTCACCCCCCCACCCAGGTGTGACGTCAGCTGCGCACCCAAATCCGGGCAATAAAAGGGAAATTTTGGTGGTTTTGGAATTTTTTTTTGTGTGTTTATTTGGGGTTTTGGGGGGTTTTATGGGGTATTGGGGATTTATTTGGGGGTTTTGGGGTTTTTTTTTATTTTTGGGGGTTTTGAGGTTTTTTCATTGCTTTTCTGGGGTATTTTTTGTTGGTTTTTTTGGGATTTTTAAAATTTTTTTGCTGTTTTTTGGGGGGGGTTTTGGACTTTTTTGATTTTTTTGCTTTTTTGGGGTTTTTTTGGGAGTCAGAGCTGCAGGAACTCAGGCACGAAGAGCAGCAGGACCTTGGCCGGGTCCCGGGGGGTTTTTGTGATTTTTTTGTGATTTTTTTTTTGCTTTTTTTTCCCCCTTTTTTTGTATTTTTGTAATTTTTTTTAATTTTTGGATTTTTTGGGGTGAATTTTTTGATTTTTGGGTGTCAGAGCTGCAGGAACTCAGCCACGAAGAGCAGCAGGACCTTGGCCAGGTCGTGCACGGTCGGGGGGTGCAGATTGTCCTCGGTGTCCCCGAGGGTGTGCCAGACCCGCGGGAACGGCGTCGGGATCACGTGGAGCACCGGGACACCTGGGGACAGCAATGGGGACATTGGGGACATTGGGGACACTGGGGACACTGGGGGGATTGGGGACATTGGGGACACTGGGGACATTGGGGACACTGGGGACACTGGGGGGATTGGGGACATTGGGGACACTGGGGACATTGGGGACAGTGGGGGGATTGGGGACATTGGGGACACTGGGGACATTGGGGACATTGGGGGGATTGGGGACACTGGGGACATTGGGGACAATGGGGACAGTGGGGACAGTGGGGGGATTGGGGACATTGGGGACACTGGGGACATTGGGGACAATGGGGACATGGGGGGACATTGGGGGGATTGGGGACATTGGGGGGACATTGGGGACATTGAGGGCATTGGGGACATTGGGGGGACATTGGGGGGATTGGGGACACTGGGGGGACATTGGGGGGATTGGGGACATTGGGGGACATTTGGGGACACTGGGGACAATGGGGACATTGGGGACACTGGGGGGACATTGGGGGGATTGGGGACACAGAGTGACACCGAGGAGTCCAGGGGACATTGGGGGGACAATGGGGGACACAGGAGGGACATCGGGGGACATTTTGGGGACACTCGGGGACGGCGGGTGACGTCACCTCGGCGCAGGAAGGGCACGTGGTCGTCCTCGACGGGCCCCGGGGCCGGGCTGAGGCGGAAAAACGGCGGCGGCGGCGACTGCAGGAGCCCGAGGTGGCGGAGACGGCGCTCTGAGGGGACAATGGGGACACTGGGGACACTGCTGGGACAGTGGGGACATATTGGGGACAGTGGGGGGATTGGGGACAGTGGGGACATCGAGAGGACATTGGGGACCATCCCATGTCACTGTCCCCGTCCCACTCCTTCTCCCCACCCCTTCCCGCTGTCCCCACCCTGTCCCCAATCTCCCCAGTGTCCCCAATGTCCCCTCAATGTCCCCAGTGTCCCCATTGTCCCCGATGTCCCCAATCTCCCCATTGTCTCCAATGTCCCCCCAATCTCCCCATTGTCCCCAATGTCCCCGTTGTCCCCATGTCCCCTCACCGATGCCGTGCAGCCGCAGGAACCAGTGGTGGCTCTGGGGGAAGTGGCTGTGGATGGCGGGGCCGGGGGCGCCCAGCAGGTCCAGCAGCACCAGCAGGCTCTGGGGACACACAGGGGACATCATGGGGACACCGTGGGGACACACAGGGACACAGAGACACACAGGGGACAGGGACAGACACAGGGACATGGGGACACACAGGGACACGGGGACGCAGCGGGGCCGGGGGCGCCCAGCAGGTCCAGCAGCACCAGCAGCTCTGGGGACACAGGGGTGACACTGTGGGGACACTGGGGACACTGAGCACACCATGGGGACACCACAGTGACAGGGACAGGTGGACAGAGAAGAGACATGGGGACACAGAGGGGACAGGAAGGACACAGGGACAGACACAGGGACACACAGGGGACAATTTGGGGACATTGGGGACACCGTGGGGTCAGGGACACAAGCACAGGGACAGTGTCCCCAAGTGTGTCCCAGGTCTGTCCCTGTCCCCAGGTGTGTCACTGACCATGGCCGTGACCTCTGACCCCAGGTGTGTCCCTGGTGTGTCCCCAGGTGTGTCACTGACCATGGCGGTGACCTCTGACCCCGCGGGGTGTCCCCTCCTGGCCATTTTCCCCGCCAGGTGTCGCGCCCCGTACAGGGAGTCGCTCTCGCTCCAGGTGTCGAACGCCTCCTCCCCGTCCAGGAACAGCAGCTGCAGCGTCACAGGGGGGTCCTGCGGGGACACCTGCGTTACACACCTGGGCACACCTGCGTTACACACCTGGGCACACCTGCGTTACACACCTGGGCACACCTGGGTTACACACCTGAGCACACCTGCGTTACACACCTGAGCACACCTGGATTACACACCTGGGCACACCTGCGTTACACACCTGGGGACACCTGGGACACACCTGAGCACACCTGGGTTACACACCTGAGCACACCTGGGTTACACACCTGGGCACACCTGGGACACACCTGAGCACACCTGCTTTACACACCTGAGCACACCTGGGTTACACACCTGGGCACACCTGCGTTACACACCTGGGGACACCTGGACCACACCTGGGGCACCTGTCCTGTCGCCAGGTGTCCCCCAAGTGTCCCCAGGTATCCTGAGGTGACCCCCGGGTGTCCCCAGGTGATCCCCAGGTGTCCTGAGGTGTGTCCAGGTGACCCCCAGGTAACTCCCACCCATTCCCAGGTGACCCCCAGCTGTCCCCAGGTGTCCCCATGTGAGCCCCAGGTATCCCAAGGTGACTCCCAGGCGTCCTGAATTCACCCCCACCCATCCCCACCCATCCCCAGGTGTGCTCACCTGTCCCAGGTGTGCTCACCTGCTCTGCCCTGGCGCTCAGGTGTCCGTCCAGCACCGACGCCAGCTCCAGCAGGAACGCGCAGACCCACACCTGTCCCACCTGTCCCTGTCCCCAAGTGTCCCCAGGTGTCCCCAGGTGTGCTCACCTGCTCTGCCCTGGCGCTCAGGTGTGCGTCCAGCGCTGACGCCAGCTCCAGCAGGAGCGCGCAGGGCACGGCGGCGTCGGTGGCGCCCACGAACGGCTCAGGTGAGCGATGCCCAGGTGAGTGCCCAGGTGAGCCATGCCCAGGTGCGTCCCCAGGTGAGAGCACCTTGGTGTCGTAGTGGCAGGCCAGCGCCAGGCGCCGCGCACCTGCGGGCGCCGCCGTGGCCACCACGCTGCTGAAGGTCACCTGCCCGCGGGGCGTGGCCGCCACAAAGGTGTCCAGCTCCAGGTGCCAGCGGGCGCGCAGGGAGCGCAGGTGCGACAGGATGTGCTGGGGGGACACAGGTGGGACAGGTGAGGGCACAGGTGGGACAGGATGTGCTGGGGGGACACAGGTGGGACAGGTGAGGGCACAGGTGGGACAGGATGTGCTGGGGACAGATGAGACAGGTGAGGGACAGGTGAGAGGCAGGTGGGGACAGGTATAGGAGATTTGGGGTCAGGTGGCACAGGTGGGCACAGGTGTCCAGCTCCAGGTGCCAGCGGGTGCGCAGGGAGCGCAGGTGCGACAAGAGTGCTGGGGACAGGTGAGGGCACAAGTGGGACAGGATGTGGTGGGGACAGGTGAGGGCACAGGTGGCTTAGGTGGCACAGGTGAGGGACAGGTGGGAGGATTTTGGGGAGGTTTAGGGAGGGATTTAGGGGAAATTTGGGTCTTTTTGGGGGTCCCAGGTGTATTTTAGGGGTCCCAGGTGTATATTGGGGTGGTTTTTGGGGGTCCCGGGATGGTTTTTGGGGTCTTTTTGGGGGTCCCAGGTGTATTTTAGGGGTCCCAGGTGTATACTGGGGTGGTTTTTGGGGGTCTCGGGATGGTTTTCGGGGGGTTTTTGGGGGTCCCAGTGTATTTTGGGGGTCCCAGGTGTATATTGGGGTGGTTTTTGGGGGTCCCGGGATGGTTTTCGGGGGGTTTTGGGGGTCTCAGGTGTGTATTTCGGGGGTCTCACCTGTCGGGCGGCGCGGCTGCCGGGCCCCCCAGGGACCCTCTCGTGCAGGAGGGGTCTCAGGAGGGACCCCCAGAGCCGGGCGGGGTCCAGCCGGGCCAGGAGGGTCCTGAGGGCGCGGTCCGGGGGATCCTGGGGGGATTTTGGGGGGTCCTGGGGGGATTTGGGGGGTCCTGGGGTGTCCCAGAGGGATTTTGGGGGGATTTGGGGGGTCCCAGAGGGGTTTGGGGGGTCCCGGAGTGATTTGGGGGGATCCCAAAGGGTTCCAAAGGGTCCTGGGGGGATTTTGGGGGGTCCTGGGGGGGATTTGGGGGGGGTCCCAGATGGGTCTCGGGGGTCCCGGAGTGATTTGGGGGGGTCCCAGAGCAGTTTTGGGGATCCCGGAGCAGTTTGGGGGGTCCCTGAGTGATTTTTGGGGGTCCCAGAGAGGTTTTGGAGGTCCCGAAGAGTTCGGGGGCGTTCTGAGGGGGTCCCGGAGTGGATTTGGGGGTCCCGAAGAGTTTGGGGGGCGTCTCCCGTTAACCCCCCCGTTATCCCCGGTCCCCTCCCCATTATCCCCCCATTAACCCCCCCATTATCCCCCCCGTTATCGCCCCGTTATCCCCCCCGTTACCCCCCCCGTTATAGCCCCCGTTATCCCCCCGTTATCGCCCCCGTTACCCCCGTTATCGTCCCCGTTATCCCCCCCGTTATCTCCCCGTTATCGCCCCCGTTACCCCCCGCTCCGCTCCCTCCGCGCTCCCCGCCGGGCCAGCACACGAGGATCACGGCGGCGGCCGCCAGCACCGCCAGCAGCACCGGCAGCGGCCGCGCCGGGCGCGGGGGCCGCGGGAGGAGCCCCCAGACCCAGCCCGGGCCCGGTTCCGGTACCGGCGGCGCGCACCGGGGCCGGGCCGGGACTCGAACCCGCGGCTCGAGGACGGCGCGGCCCGGCCGGGAGATGGCGCATGGCGGGGGCGGGGCCTCGGAGCGAGGGGGGGGCGGGGCCTCAAGGGGCCAATGGGGGAGGAGGAGCGGGGATTAAAAGGGGAGGGGCGGCGCAGGGCGAAGAAGAGAGCGCGGATTGGGGGGGCGGGGATTGGAGGGGAGGGGGGCGGGGATTGGGGAGGCCGCGCCCGTGTGGGGCGGAAAGGGACGGACAGACGGACACGGGAGGGGACACGGGGGGACGTGGGGAAACACGGGAGGGACAGAGGGACATGGGAGGGGGACAGAGGGACATGGGGGGACATGGGAGGGGACAGAGGGACACGGGAGTGACGGGGGACACGGGGAGGGGACAGAGGGACACGGTGGGGGGGGACATGGGAGGGACAAAGGAACATGGGAGGGACAGAGGGACATGGGAGGGACAGAGGGACAAGGGAGGGACATGGAGGGACAGAGGGATATGGGACGGACAGACGGACACGGGGGGAACTTCCCAGCCGGCCAGGCGGCTCATTTCCTTCGCCGTCAATCACCACAAACCACGCCCCCAACCCCGAGTTCTGCCCACCCCCGTCGCGCGTCTCGATTTGCATAAACCACGCCCACTCATCGCTCCCCTCACTCCTCCCGCCCGCCAGGGGGCGCCCCGCGCTGCTGACGGCGGCGCTCCCCGTCACGTGACGCGGCGCGGGGGTCACGCGGGACGGCGGCGGCGCCGTCATGGCGGCCATGGCGGCGGAGAAGGAAGCGGAGGCGCAGCGGTTGCTGAGCGAGGCCGAGCGGAAGGTCCGGGGGGCTCAGTCCTTCCTCGGGGTCCTCTTTGGGTGCGTCCGGTACCGGGGAGGGGGAACGGGGCGGGCGGCGGAGCCGGGGAGGCCTTGGGAGGCCTGAGGGGAACGGGGTGAAGGGGAGACGGGGAGGCCTGAGGGGGGAAAAGGGCGGGAAAATGAGGGGGGGGGAAAGGCGGGAATTGGGGGAGTCGTGAGGGGAATGGGGGGGGGAGGGGAATTGGGGGAAAATTGGGGAAATTGTGAGGGGAAAGTGGGGTGGGGGAGGTGAACTGGGGGGTCCTGAGGGAAATTGGGGGAATGATGAGGGGAATTGGGGGGTCCTGAGGGGAAATTTGGGGATTTTCTTGTGGGGGGGCACCCAAAATTGCCCCAATTCCCCTTCTCTCACCCCGGTTCCTTCCCCACCCCCCAGAATTCCCAAAGTAATTCCCGTTTTTCCCGCAAAAACTCCATTTTTCCTGGAATAATTCAATTTTTTCCCTAGAATTCCCAGGAAAACTAATTTTTTTTCCCAGAATAATTCAATCTTTTTCCTGTTTCCCAGGGGTTCCTCGTGGCTTTTTCATATTTTTTCCATATTTATTGCCAATTTTCTAGTACCAGCTCAAATGCAGCTCCAGAGCAAACCCCAACCCCATCACTGACCCCATTAATCTCCATTAATTATTAATTAATTCCTCATATTTATTTGATGTTTTTCTGGCTTTATTCCATATTTTTTCCATGGTTTTTCCTTGTTTTCCAGAGACAGCTCAGCTGGACCAACCCCATTATTGACCCCATTTAATTCCCCATTAACTTCCATTAATTCTCCATTAATCCCCATTAATTCCCCACTTAATTCTCCATTAATTATTAATAATTGCAGCTGTTAGTTTCATATTTATTCCATATTTTTCCAGGGTTTTTTTCCTGTTTTCCTGAGGCAGCTCAGCTGCACCAGCCCCATCATTAACCCCATTAATTCCCATTAATCCCCCATTAATTCCCACTAATTATTAATAATTCCAGGTGTTAATTCCATATTTATTCCATGTTTTACCATATTTGTTCCGTATTTTTTCCAGTTTTTCCCTGTTTTACAGAGGCAGCTCAGCTGCACCAACCCTATTAATTCCCCATTATTAACCCCATTAATTCCCCATTAATTCCCATTAATTCCCCATTATTAACTCCCTTAATCCCCAATTAATTCCCCATTACTTCCCAGTTAATTTCTCATTAATCCCCTTAATTATTAATAATTCCAGGTGTTAATTCCATACTTATTCCATATTTTTTCCAGGTTTTTTCCCTGTTATCTAGAGGCAGCTCAGCTGCACCAACCCCATTATTGACCCCATTAATTCCCTTTTAATTCCCTTTAATTCCCCATTAATTCCCATTAATTTTCCAGGAATATTCCCGTTTTTATTCCCATTTTTATTCTCATTTATTCCATTATAATATTTCCATTTTTCCCTGGAAAATTCCCATTTTTCTTTGGATATTCCATTTTTCCATTTTTTCCTATTTTTCCTTGAATATTCCCATTTTCATTCCCATTTTCATTCTCCTTTTCCCAGGAATATTTTGATTTTTATTCCCATTTTGATGCCCATTTTCCCTGGAATATTCTTATTTATTCCATGTGTTTTCCATTTTCCCTGGAATATTCCCATTTTTCCATGGAATATTCCCATTTTTCCATTTTCATTCCCATTTTCTCAGGAATATTCCCATTTTTATTCCCATTTTCCCCCCTTGTTTATTCCCGTTTTTCCCTGGAATAGTCCCAAATTTTATTCCCATTTTTTCCAGGAATTTTCCCATTTTAATTGTCATTTCCCCCTGGAATATCCCCATTTTTGCATGTTTTTTCCTGTTTTCCCCTTAAGAATTCCTATTTTCATTCCCATTTTTTCCTGGAATATTTCCATTTTTATTCCCATTTTTCCGTGTTTTTTCCCATTTTTGCCAGGAATATTCCCACTTTTATTCCTATTTTTCTTGGAATATTCCCCTTTTTATTCTCATTTTCCCATGGAATATCCTCATTTTTCATATTTTTTCCTATTTTTCCCTTAAGAATTCCCATTTTTATTCCATTTTTTCCCAGGAACATTCTCATTTTTCTCTTAAATATTCCCAAATCTCCTGGGAAATTTCAGTTTTTCCTTAAATATTAGCATTTTTCCATGGAACATTACCTATTTTTTCCCCTGGAATATTCCCATTATTTCCATGGAATACTCTCATTTTCTTCCCATTTTTCCAATGTTTATTCCCATTTCTCCATGGAATATCCCCATTATTCCATTTTTATTCCCATTTCTCAATGGAATATCCCCATTATTCCATTTTTATTCCCATTTTCCCATGGAATATCCCCATTATTTCCATGTTTTTTCCCATTTTCCATGGAATATTCCCATTTTTTCCCCATTTTCCCCCAGGGCCGTTTCACCATCGCAACCATCGCCGAGATCTACGAGAGCGACCTGCTGGACATTGAGAGGGTGAAAAACACAGAAAAATCCTCCAAAAAACCCCTGGGAAAATAATGGAAAAATCCATGGGAAAATCGCAGAAAATAAAATCCTGGAAAAATCACAGAAAATCCTGGAAAAAATCACAGAAAAAAACCCTAAAATGTGGGAAAATATGAAAAAAACCCTGGGAAAAATCCTTGGGAAAATAATGGAAAAGTCCTGGAAAAATCCCTGAGCAAAATCCTGGAAAAATCCCAGATAAAATTCTGGAAAAATCCTAGAAAAATCTCAGAAAATCCTGAAATATTCCGGGAAAAAACACCAGGAGAATAAAGGAAAATTCCTGGGAAAACCCCCCCCAATAAAATCCTGGATAAAATTCCACAAACATCCTGGAAAACGTCTTAAAAAATAAAAATAAAATCCTGGGAAAAATAAAAAAACCTTGGGAAAATCCCTGGAAAAATTCCCAGGAAAATCCCAGAAAAATAATGGGAAAATCCTGGGAAAAAATCCCAGACAAATGAAATAAAACCCTGAAAAAATCATCTAAAAATCCCCAGGAAAATCCTGGAAAAACCCCAAAAAATCCTGGGAAAAAAATCCCAGAAAAATAAGGAAAAAATCGCTGTAAAAGATCTTGGGCAAAACCCCAAAAAATCCTGAAAAATCACAGAAAATCTTGGGAAAAATTCCATAAAAAATCCGGAAAAATCCTGGGAAGGTCCTAAAAAATTCAAGGAAAAATCCCTGGGAAAATCCCCGAAAAAAAATCCCAGATAAAATTCCACAAAAATCCTAGAAAATAATTTAAAAAACCGTTCTCAGCTCTTCCCTCGTGCTGGGGACCCTCAAACAGCACCACAAGCACCGGCCTGAGCTGCTCCAGTGGCACCAAATCATATCAAATCAAATGCTTGAAAAAATAGAAAACTTAAAAATAAAAATAAAATTAAAAAGAGATTTAAAAAAATACAATTATTTAGGAATAAATAAAAAAACAAAATGAAACCCGGAAAGTGCAGTGCCGTAAAAGTTCCATTAAGAAAGGGGCCGTAAAGCGCGACTGTCGTAAAAGGTGCCGTAAAGCGCGACTGTCGCAAATACTGCCGTAAAGCGCGACTGTCGTAAAAGGGGCCGTAAAGCGCGACTGTCGCAAATACTGCCGTAAATGAAGACTGTCGTAAAAGGGGCCGTAAAGCGCGACTGTCGCAAATACTGCCGTAAATGACGACTGTCGTAAAAGGGGCCGTAAAGCGCGATTGTCGTAAAAGGTGCCGTAAAGCGCGACTGTCGTAAAAGGGGCCGTAAAGCGCGACTGTCGCAAAACGGGCCGTAAAGCGCGACTGTCGTAAAAGGTGCCGTAAAGCGCGACTGTCGTAAAAGGGGCCGTAAAGCGCGACTGTCGCAAAACGGGCCGTAAAGCGCGACTGTCGTAAAAGGTGCCGTAAAGCGCGACTGTCGTAAAAGGGGCCGTAAAGCGCGACTGTCGCAAATACTGCCGTAAATGAAGACTGTCGTAAAAGGGGCCGTAAAGCGCGACTGTCGCAAATACTGCCGTAAATGACGACTGTCGTAAAAGGGGCCGTAAAGCGCGATTGTCGTAAAAGGTGCCGTAAAGCGCGACTGTCGTAAAAGGGGCCGTAAAGCGCGACTGTCGCAAAACGGGCCGTAAAGCGCGACTGTCGTAAAAGGTGCCGTAAAGCGCGACTGTCGTAAAAGGGGCCGTAAAGCGCGACTGTCGCAAATACTGCCGT